CTCGAACCCACAGGCTCAGGCAATCCACTCACCTCAGCCTCCCAAGGTGCGGGATTACAGGCTGAGCCACCGCATCCGGCTGTTTGTCCTTCTTTATGGCTGCATAATATTCCCTGTGTATATGCACCACATTTTTTTTCCAGTCCAGTTTCGATGGACAGCACAGTTGGTTCCATGTTTTTGCTGTTGTGAATAGCACTTCAATAGATGATACGTGTGCAGGTATCTCTGGCAAATATTTATTGAGTGCCTTCTATATTCTAGAGCAGTGAGCAACTGAGACAACGTCTCTGCCTCTCAGAGCTTTCATTCTAGTCAGGAAGGTTTGCGTTAAACGAGATCAATGAGAAAATAGGTGGTATGCTCGATAGCAACAAGAGTTAAGGAGAAAAATAAAGCCAGTAAGGAAGAAGGCGGAAGGAAAGAAGGGGACAGGAAAGTTGGTAGATGGTAAAGGTGGGGTTTTGCAGTTTTGGCTAAGGTGAGCGGGAAGTCCTCACTTGAGAAGATTTGGCCTAAAAGTCCAAGCCATCCCCATATCCTCTTTTGCCAAGACTATTGCAGTAGCCTCCTAAAAAGGTCTCCCGCTTCTGTTCTTGCCCCTACACTACATTCTCCACATGGCAACCAGAGCGATGCTTTAAAATGAGGGCACTATCAGCATGGAGATGGTATGAGGCCAAGGGCCTGGATGGAACCACCAAGGGGAGAAGAGAGACGGACGAGATGAAGGTGGGAGGAAAACTGGGGGGTGGGTTATCTGGAAACCGGGAGAAGACACTTGGTGGAAGAGGGGAGAGGTCGACTGTGCCATGTGCTGCTGGGTCGGAAAGTCACAGGGTAGAGAAGGGCCGGGAGGCTTGAGGGGTGATTTCCACGTGATTGGTCCAGGGAACAGGTGTGGACGGGGAAGGTCTCATGGAATACAAGTCACCCCATGAGTTGGGCTGGGGAAACAGCCTACCGAACTGTCCACGCACACATTTCCACCTGAAGTGGTTCTTATTCTCCTGGATAGTATCTCTTCCTAGTGTGATGTTTGAGGACTCAAGAACATTGACCACCAAACTTTTCATCCTAAAATAGCATCAGAACATGACATATGAGTCATTTTTAATGGTTGCATGTAGTAGGTGACCAACATATTCAGAGATTTCCCTTCTTTCTGTTACTCTCTCTCACTATAGTTTGTTGTAAAAAAAAAAAAAAAGGTGATTGGTTTTTTTTTTTTTTCAGGCTGGGCATGGTGGTTCACACTTGTAACCTCAGCAGTTTGGGAAGCTGAGGTGGGAGGATCACTTGAGGCCAGGAGTTCAAGACTAGCCTGGACAACATAGTGAGACCCTGACTCTATTGTAAAAATTAAAAAAAAAAAAAATTTCCTGTTTAGAAAAGGAATTGAAGTTCCTTATGAAAGTTCAAATATTATGAAAATATAGAAGCTGGAAAGTGGGTCAGGCACTGTGGTTCACACCTATCATCCCAGCATTTTGGGAGGCTAAGGCGAGAGGATTGTTTGAGCGTAGAAGTTCAAGATCAGCCTGGGCAACATGGCAAGACCTCGTCTCGACAAAAGATTAAAAAAAAATTAGCTGGGCTATGGTGGTACAGACCTGTAGTTCCAGTAACTCGGGAGGCTGAGGCAGAAGGATTGTCTGAACCCAGGAAGTCGAGGCTGTCATGAGCCATGATCCTGCTACTGAACTCCAGCCTAAGTGACAGAAAAAAAAAAGTTGAACTAAACTGATCTCATGCAGCTACAACTTTTGAAGGAGGGTGGGGAGCCAGTTTATTATTATGAGAATTGAGCAAATAAAGAGGAATTGAGCATTTCTGCCACCCTCCCGGTCTGAAATGTTCAAGATCAAATAGTAAGCAAGAGAAGTGTCTCTTTATAAAGGTATCTCAACTAATAAGATATTTTAGAACGAGAATATTGCAGTTTGGCAACCCCCAGTGGATTAATGGATCTAGGCATTGAACATCGACAGCTCAAAAAAAGTAAAAATAAAAAGAGAGAAAACTGAGTCTTGGAAAGGTGTTCTGATCAAGTCTCTGGACCTAGCTGCCAATTTGCAAGACACACAGACCCAGAAGGGGCTTGCTCAACCACCATGAGTATGCAGTTGGTAGAAGTGGAACTGGGGAGCTCTCTGTGTAAAACATTCTGGGTTCTCCAAGAAATTGTAGGAAATAGACATAGGTTAAAAGCCTAAAAAGATGTATCAACATTTTATAAAATACAGGGAAAACTATAGAATGAACTTCAACCAACCAACCAACCCACTCCAACGTACCGGCATTTATAGGTTACTATTTTTGGGGGGGGCAGAGTCTCATTCCGTTGCCCAGGCTGGATGCAGTGGCTCACTCACGGCCACTCCAGTGTCAACCTGCTAGGCTCCGGCAATTCTTGTGCCTCAGCCTTCCAAGTAGCTGGAACTACAGGCGCGTGCTACCATGCCCGGCTAATTTTTTGGTATATTGTAGAGACGAGGTCTCACCAAGTTGTCCAGGCTGGTCTCAAACTCCTAGGCTCAGGCAATCCTCTCACCTCGTTGTCCCAAAGTCCTGGGATTACAGGCTTGAGCCAATTCGCCTGGCATATAGGTAACTTTTTACGAAGATTGTTTTGTAATTGTATTCAAATGACTTCCTAAATGCATGCTTCTGTCTCCAGCTAAATTTCTTTCTTTCTTTCTTTTTTTGAGTCAGAGTTTCACTCTGTCGCTCAGACTGGAGTGTAGTGGCACGCTCACAGCCACCACAGCCTCCACCTGCTGGGCGATCCTTCCACCTCAGCCTTCCAAGTAGCTGGAACCACAGGCATGTGCCACCATGCTCAGCTAATTTTTTGATTTATTGTAGAGATGAGGTCTCGCCATGTTGTCCAGTTGGTTTCGAACCTCTGAGCTCAGGCAATTCTCTCACCTCCACCTCCCAAAGGGTTGGAATTACAGGCGTAAGCCACCACGCCTGGCCTGCTAAATTTCAAAAGGATGGTGTCCTCAGCACCTTCATTTCCTCTACAACAGCCAGTGTGGCCCTGCCCTGGTGGGTTTATTCAGTTTCCCACTTCCCTGTGCCACAGTCTCAAGCATTTCGTTTACTGACGGCAGATGAAGACACACAGCGTTGTACTCTGGGATGTCAGTTCAGGCTCAGTGGAAGTTCTTGGCCTTGGATCACTTTAAATCAGATACAATTTCTCTCTCTCCAGGTTTGTGCTCTGGGTCTGAGTAGTTTTCCCTTTGCACGTTGGTTCCTCAGTGTAAATGGATATTGAAAGCCAGAGGTGGCTGAGGTACAGGGAATGGTTTAAACGAAGCCTGGTGATCTGTTTCCCGAACTTGGTGTTTCAGGTTTTCTTGCCAGCGTTGTCCTTCAACCAGCACAAGACGAACGCAGCCGTGGGGCGCACCTCTGTAGACTTCCCTAAGCTTTCTGGGTTTGAAGTGGACCTCCCCACCATTCCCGGGGAGGCGGTAGAGTATCACAGTGTTCAGTTAATACGGGACGAGTTTTTAATGAACATTCAGAAGTTTGCCAGTGGCATCCAGAGAACAATGCAGCAACTCGAAGGTGAGGCTTCACTTTTCTCCTTTTTATTTCTTAATTAAAAAAAATTTTTCATGTATTTTATTTTAAGGCTGTGGGGTACAATTCAGGATGAGGTATACAAATGGTCACCTTACAGGTAAAGTTTGGGCCTCCCTTTGGTCCCCACTTTGCCTGGTTTGAGATCAGGTACCCTTATTGATGTTGTGTTTCCGCCCCCCCCCATACTTTTCTCCTTTTTAGTTAAGAATGACGAATTCATTTTAAGCATTCAGGAGCTTTTTTGTTGTAACTTACCATAGTTTCTTGTTAAGCTACCCACTACTGTTTATGAAAAAAACCGAACAGGTCATTGTAAGCGACACAGAAAGGAATGGCAAAATCCTTGTCCTCAAGGACCTTGGAATCCAGTGCACAAAGAACTATGGGGCTTAAGCAAGGAGCTTAAGAAAGATAGTAGGGATTTTAGGGCTTGGAAGAGGGAGGCTGAGCTTGGGGAGTTGTGGGAAAATTCAAGGGAAGCTTCACGGAGGAGGTGGCCTCATCAGAAAGTTGTGTGTAGCAACTACTGTTGAACTGAGTCACTCTGTGCCTCATGAGTTGGGTGGATGTCACAGTAAGAGTCCCAAAGCCCAGGTCAATGAGAGAACTTATTCACATAAGAGGGGGAACCCCCCCCAAACGAAGTTTATTCATTAAAAAGTATGTATTTATTCTTACATGTTTAAACTTCAGTCACCTTCTAAGGACTCTCCGTTGGATGCAGTCCACCTATTGAGATGCTTTTTCCACTGCTCAAAACAGTTTTTGAACTTGTCCGTTTGGATGCCTTTTAGTACTCTGTCGTTTTTGTTTGTTTGTTTGTTTGTTTTTGTTTGTTTGTTTGTTTGTTTGAGTTGGAGTCTCACCCTGTCGCCCAGACTGGAGTGCCGTGGCCGCTCCTTACCACCGCAGCCTCAACCTGCTGGGCTCCGGTGATCCTTCCGCCTCAGTCTCCTGAGTAGCTGGAATTACAGGCACGTGCTACCATGCCCGGCTGTGCTCTGTCGTTTTTTGTTTCACCTCTTCCACATTGGCAAAATGTGTCCCTTGGAGGACTTTTTTCATCTGGGGAAACAAAAAACAAGTTGCTGGGGGCAAGACCGGGTGAATAGGAAGGGTGGGGCACGGGGCCATGCCATTTTTGGCCAAAAACTGCTGAACACTTAGTGCAGTGTGGGCAGGTGTGTTGTAAATCACCCGTCATGAAATGGGCAAACACATAGAAAGAATCTCCAAAAAAATTCACTGAAGCTGGATGCCGCCTCTCATAGCAATGCCAGCTGTTCCACGGATGCCGATGGGTTCCTAGAACACTCACCTAGTGGGGGAAGCCTGGACTCTGAGGGGCCCGCCCTCCAAAAGATAATTCTGGGTTTTTTTGGGTGGTCCCCTTTCATACAGAGACCAAAGAGCCTGAGAGACTGGCTTAGTGAGGGCCTTGAGTCTCGCTTGTGAAAAGACAAAGGAACTAGGGTTGTTCAGGCCCCAGTGGGATTGTTATTTCAGGGGAGCAAACATTTTTCTTCCTTTAAAGTAAAATGTAACATGCCCCACTTTGTAGGAATATTCTCTGTTGGAGATGAAAACATCACAGTCCCAGTTAGAGACCCAAACGTTGTGTAACACGCTGCGAGGATGTCTCTTCAGGCTTCTGTTTTAGAATGTCCTTCTCTCGTCCCCAGGAAGTGTGGTTTCTGTCTTGGTATCTCTGTGTTCCTTCCACTGTCTTTTGGACTATTTTTTCTTATGTTTCTGTCTAGTGTTTCTCTCTCCCTCTCTCATTTTTTTTTCCCTCACACTCCTTGAATTGGTATAATACAGTGACGATCTGAAGAATTGTTTCTTATCCTGTTGAACACGATTTGTATATCTCGTTTTTGGTGTGAAAAAGTAGATGGATGAAAAATATATTTATGCTTTAGATAAAATGCTGACAGAAAATACCCTAAAATGCTGTCAGTGATTGTCACCGACTACCCTGTGAGAGTAAGACAATTGTTCTTTTCCTTTCTTTTCTTTTCTTTTAAGTTGAGACCTCACTCTGTCACCCAGGCTGGAGTGCAGCGGCACAATCACTGCTACGACAGCCTCAAACTCCTGGGCTCAAGCTGTCCTCCCACCTCAATCTCCTGAGTAGCTAGGACTACAGGCTTAGGCCGCCCGTGCCTGGCTGATTTTTTAATTATTAGTAGAGATGAGGAGGGTCTCACTATGTTGCCCTAACTGGTCTTGAACTTATGGGCTCAATCAGTCCTTCCATCTTGGCCTCCCAAAGTGCTGGGATGACAGATGTGAGCCACCATACCCGGCCACCTTTTCTTTTCTTTTTTCATACTTTTCTACAATATGTATGTACTATTTTAAAAATCAGAAAAGCAGATGGGTTAATATTCTATAACAGGTGTCAAAGCATTATGACCTGTGGGCCAAATCCAACCCACTGTCATTTTTTGCATGGCCTGTGGACTAAGAATATTGTTTTTAGTTTTAAATGGTTACTTTTAGCTGGGCTCGGTGGCTCAGCCTGTAATCCCGTGCTTTGGGAGGCTGAGGTGAGTGAACTGCCTGAGCCCGCGGGTTCAAGACCCGCCTGGGCAACTTGGCGAGACCTCACCTCTAATTAATCAAAAATTAGCCGGGCATGGTAGCGCGCGCCTATAGTTCCAGCTACTTGGAAGGCTGAGGCGGAAGGATTGCCGGAGCCCAGCAGGTCGAGGCTGTGGTGGTCGTGAGTGTGCCACTGCACTCCAGCCTGGGTGACAGAGTGAGAATCCAACTCAAAAATAAGAAATAATAGCCTGGCTCAGTGGCTCAGCCTGTAATCCCAACACTTTGGGAGGCTGAAGTGAGTGGATTGCCTGAGCCCGCGGGTTTGCGACCCGCCTGGGCAACTTGGCAAGACCTCATCTCTCTCTCTACAATAAATAAAAAACTAGCCAGGCGTGGTGGCGCGTGCCTGTAGTTCCAGCTACTTGGAAGGCTGAGGCGGAAGGATCGCTGGAGCCAGCAGGTCGAGGCTGCGGTGGCCGGGAGTGGCCACTGCACTCCAGTCTGGGCAACAGAGTGAGACTCCAACTCAAAAAAATAAATAAATAAAAATAAAATAAATTGTTACTTTTTTTCAGTTGCTGCATAAGTGTCTTCATTCTAATCTCAATTCTCCCTCTTGGCGTACAAAGCGTAAAATATTTACTATTTGGCCTTTTAAGAAAAAGTGTGCCTACTTTATGATATCAGTGTGAGGAAGAAATCTGTTTTTCTTTTTTTGAGTTGGAATCTCACTCTGTTGTCCAGACAGGAGTGCAGTGGCAGACTCATGGCCACTGCAGCCTCGACCTGCTGGACTCAGGCAAACCTTCTGCCTCAGCCTTCCAAGTAGTTGGAACTACAGGCACATGCCACCACGCCCAGCTAATTTTTAAATTTACTGTAGAGACGTGATCTCACCAAGTTGCCCAGGCTGGTCTCGAACCCCTGGGCTCAGGCAATCCTCTCTCCTTGGTCTCCCAAATTGCTGGAATTACAGACTTGAGCCACCATGCCTGGCCAAAATCTGTTTTTCTGAGGGGACATTTATGAATAGTTTCCTGTAGGTTACTGGCTGTTAACTTAAAAAAACTTTTTTACTCTTTTTCTTCAAGATGCTTAATATCACACATACCGGGTAATCTGTTGCAGAGTGAGTTTTTAATAGGTTATATTAGTATCCTTATATCAAATACACTTATATTTATAAATATTAATAAATGTGTGTATATGCACTACAGTAAGCCTCCTACATACACACCTTCAGGTGGCAAACTTTCAAAGATGTGAACGTCCGTTTGCACGTCCAGTCACGTAAGTCAGTTCACGTGTCTGGTGTACGTTATTACGTACGTGCATCCTCTACAAGTGGTTGTGCTTCTGTGTCCTTTACAGGACTGTTTGGAGGACAGCTGTACAGTATCTTTATTTCAGGCTCAGGATTTCAAGCCCAGCAAGCGTAAAAGCAGCAGTGATGTCGCTGGTACTGTGTAGCTGATTGTATTCGTTGGGGACCTAGGCTAGCTTTGTTGGACTCATGGACTTAACGAACAGGCTTTCGGAATGGAGCTCATTCATATGTAGGGGGCTTACTGCATATTAAATTTTCTTAGAGTAGTATGTACATGAAGTTTAAAAAATTATATAGTAATAACAGACACTAATGAGTTGAAAAATAATGACCCTGCCTCACTTTCTCTATCTGTGAGTTCTGCTCTCTCATGGTGACTCCTTCCAATTATTTAAATGTTTCTATTGATGATTTCTGCCATCTCTGTAAATTAAGTGCACACACTGCTGTTTCTTTTTCTTTCTTTCTTTCTTTTTTTTTTTGAGTCGGAGTCTCACTCCATCACCCAGGCTGGAGTACAGTGTCATATTCACGGCCACCCCAGCATCGACCTGCTGGGCTCAGGCGATCCTTCCGCCTTCGCCTTCCAAGTAGCAGGAACTACAGGCGTACGCTACCATGCCTGGCTAATTTTTTGATTTATTGTAGAGATGAGGTCTTGCAAAGTTGCCCAGACTGGTCTTGAACCCATGGACTCAGGCAATCCTCTCACCTTGGCCTCCCAAAGTGCTGGGATTACAGGCTGAGCCACTGAGCCCAGCCTTTTTTCCTTTATATTCTTATGGATTTTCTAGATTTTTTTTTTGAGTCAGAGTCTCACTCTGTTGCCCATACTAGAGTGCAGTGACAGGCTCACAGCCACCCCAGCATCAACCTGCTGGGCTCCAGCGATCCTTCCACCTCAGCCTTCCAAGTAGCCGGAACCACAGGTGCCTGCTACCATGCCTGGCTAATTTTTTATTTATTGTAGAGACGAGGTCTCGCCAAGTTGCCCGGGCAGGTCTCAAACCCCTGGACTCAGGCAATCCACTCGCCTCAGCCTCCCAAAGTGCTGGGATTATAGGCTGAGCCACTGAGCCTGGCCTTGTTTCTTCTTACTTGTAGACAATAGGCATTATTTTCTGCTATGATGATGAGAACTTTGCTCCTCCTTCCACACTGCCAGCCTTCCTGCTTCCTTCCATGTTAGTTCTTCTTTTCATTACATAGTAAATTGTGTTTATGTTATAGGATTTTAGGAATATCGCTTACCATAGACAGAGTGGTGGATTTGGACAGTCTTTCTTTCCTAGTACAACTTTTCTCTTCTTCCTTCTGCATTCCCAATTGATGTTCTTTTCTTTCTTTCTTTTTTTTTTTTGAGTTGGAGTCTCACTCTGTCGCCCAGACTGGAGTGCAGTGGCCGCTCCCGGCCACCGCAGCCTCAACCTGCTGGGCTCCGGCGGTCCTTCCGCCTCAGCCTTCCAAGTAACTGGAACTACAGGCGTGCGCTACCACGCCCGGCTAATTTTTGATTTGTTGTGGAGATGAGGTCTCGCCAAGTTGCCCAGGCAGGTCTCGAACCCAAGGGCTCAGGCAATCCACTCACCACAGCCTCCCAAAGGCGCGGGATTACAGGCTGAGCCACTGAGCCTGGCTAATGATGTTCTTTTCTTAAACTATAAAGTCCTCTTTGCTTTTGTTTTTGCAAAAACTCCTCAGTGCAAAAGGGCCCTCCATCTGCGAGATGTGCTCCTCCCCAGGGTCCTGAGTTCCCTGTTCCCATGTGGGCTAGTTGCTGTCTCAATCCGTACCACAGCTATCGTTCCTGCAGTCCCAGGCCTTTTTTTTTTCTTAGTTGGGTTTTACTCTCTAATTGTACAGGAATAGATCCTTAAGTAACTTCTTCAGCAAAGGTGTGTGGGAAATACTTTTATGAGAACTTGCATGTCTGAAATGATTTTATTCCAATTTTTTTTTAGATTGGAAAATATAGTTTATTTAGAAAGTAAATTAGAGAGAGAGGTGGGGGGGGGGGGAGATTCACCTCCCCAAGGTAGGGGAGGGGTCTAAAGCTTGGAAAACATGACCTGGCCAGACCTCAAAGAGCCACATGGCTGGGCCAGAGCTTAACAACAGCATTTCTGGTCTACCTTCACAGTTTGTTAATGATTTGTCTAGAAACTGAAGTTTAGGTTAAAAATAACTTTAGCACAGGATTTTGAATACATATTTCTTCATTGCTTCCTAGCAGCCAATATTTAGTGGTGAGAAAATGAATGCTCTTTTTTTTTTTTAAAGCCAAGGTCTCACTCTGTGACCTAGGCTGGAGTACAGTGACATGATCACCACAGCCTCGACCTGGGCTCAGGTGATCTTCCCACTTCAGCCTCCTTAGGATCTGGAACTACAGGTGTGTACCACCATGACCAAATAAATTTTTAATTTTTTTCTAGAGATGAGGTCTCATTATTTTGCCCCAACTGGTCTCAAACTCCTGAGCTCAAGGGATCCTCCTGCCTTGGCCTCTGAAAGTGCTGGGATTACACCTGTGAGCCACCGTGCCAGCTAAATGCACTTTGGATTTTTGTGTTTGTGTGTGTGTGGCCTTTGTGTAAGCTTTTAGGACCATCTGGTTATACCTTGTGTTTTGAAATGTTATTATGATGATGGGCCTTTGTGTGGTTCTTTTTCCATTAATTTTGCTAAGTTTTCAATCTGAAGACAAAAAAATTTTCTTGGTGATTTTCTCCACTGTTTGTCTTTGTTTCCTCTTGCAAAAATTCCTGTTGGATGAATGTCTATAGGCTTTCTTTCTCTCTTTTTTTCCCTGCCCCCTCCACCCAGCTTTATTTTTTATCTTTTCTCTTGTATTTTGCATCTTTTTGTCTTTGTATTCTAATTTCCTGGAGTGGTTTTCAACTTTTATCTTTCTTTTTTTTTTTTTTTTTTGAGTTGGAGTCTCACTCTGTCACCCAGGTTGGAGTGCAGTGGCATGCTCCAGGTCACCGCAGCCTTGACCTGCGGTGATCCTTCCGCCTCAGCCTTCCAAGTAGCTGGAATTACAGGCACACGCTACCACACCCGGCTATTTTTAAAAAAAATTTATTGTAGAGATGAGTTCTTGCCAAGTTGCCCAGGTGGATCTCGAACCCGTGGGCTCAGGCAATTCACTCACCTCAGCCTCCCAAAGCACGGGATTACAGGCTGAGCCACCGAGCCCGGTAACTTTTATCTTTCTAATCTTTGATTGATATTCATATCAGATATTCATATATAATAATATCAGATAGTCATATATAACATTCATATTATATAGATATATATTAATATATGATATCACATATTCATATATAATATACATATTATATTTTCAATTTTTTTTTCTTTTTTTAGAAAGCAGGGTTTATTAAGAGGACAGAAAAGCTCCCACAGTTGGAAAGGACCCGAGGGTGTTACCTATATTTTCAATTTTTAAGATCTCTTATTCTCTGCTTGTACCTTTTTGATAGCATTCTGTTCTTGTTTGATGGATGCCATAGTGTCCCAAATCTCTGAGACAAATAACTGAGATTTCTTTTTGGAAATTATCTCCTTTTCTTTACATTATCTCAATTTCCTCCGAGGTCATTTTTTTTTTTTTTTTTTTTTTTTTTTAATCTTAGACTGTCTGTTTCATGCTGGAGGTTACCTCGAATATCTATTTGGCTCTGGTTGTTTAATTTTTAAAAATTGAAGTCACTAGGTTGTAAATTCAGAAACATCTTAAATCACTAAATCATTTTGACAGAGCTCAACACGGGAGCAGTTATCTAGAATGTTTTTATGACATTCTAGCGAAAGAGAATGAGACGGATGTTATTAGGACAGGGATGTGTCAGACCTTACATTTGTGAATATGGGAGAGGAGCCAGCTAATTCGCTTGAACGTTACTGGGCATAATTGTTTTTCCCGAACTAAGGGCTGACTGATCATTTTTATTCTAATAGGTGAGATCAAGTTGGAAATGCCGAGCATCAGCTTGGAGGGAGAGGTGTCTGACCTGGCAGCTGACCCGGAAACGGTTGATATCTTGGAGCAGTGCGTGATAAACTGGCTGAATCAGATATCAGCTGCTGTTGAGGGCCAGCTGAAGAAGAAGCCTCAGGTAACTGGAGCGGGAGGGGCTGGTCCGGGTCAGACTTTTCATCCTGAGAAGGAACCAGGTGTCAGGGGATCTGCATGATCTGGCCTCTTTTCTTACTGTTTGATGACTTTCTTTAAAGATCAAAGTAGGGCGACCCCCTCGGGTCCCCTCCCACTGTGGGAGCTTTTCTGTCCTCTCAATAAATCTTGCTTTCAAAAGAAAATAAAAAAGATCAAAGTAAACGTACCCAAGTTATCATTCCTGAGCTTTCTGATGACTGTCTGGATTGATAGAGCACTGTGTGTCAGGCAGGACGCTTGGGCTGCCAAAGACGGGAAACCCAACTCAATGGGATCAAATGAGAAAACAAATTTCTTGGCTCATATAACTGAAAAGTTCAGAGGCAGGACTGGCTTCAGGTACAGTTTGATCAGCATTCTGGTTGTGTTTCTCTCTAGATCTCTGGGTTCCAACCTCCTCTCAAGGGAGCTTGGGCGGGGGACATGGCGGGGGAGTCCTCCTGAGGCTGGTTTCCCTCACGGCAGGCAGCAACTTGCTGGCTTCATATTTTCCAGAGAAAGTTAGAGCATCTTTGTCCAGCATTCCTAGCCAGAGTCCTGAGATTCACTTTGATTGGACTGTCCTAGGTCAAGAGCCCACCCCGAAGACTCTGCATGGATTGGGGCAGTTGGGAAGAAAGTAACAGATGCTGGAGAAGCTACCACAGTGTCTGCTCCACCCTAGTGATGAGCATTCTTTGTGTGTTCGTGTCACCTCTCAGGGTAATGGCCCTCTGGCAGAAATTGAATTCTGGCGGGAAAGAAATGCAACCTTAAGTGCACTCCATGAGCAAACAAAGCTTCCGATAGTCAAGAAAGTCTTGGAGGTGATCAAGGAAGCAGACTCAATGCTCGTGGCTAACTTGCAGCCAGTCTTCACCGAGCTCTTCAAGTTCCACATGGAGGCCACGGACAACGTGCGCTTCCTGTCCACCGTGGAGCGCCACTTCAAGGTAGGCCAGGTGGGCGGCGTGTTGTGGAGTCAGCTTTGTCGGTGAGGTTTCATATGATTGCATTTCCTTTTTTTTCCACTCAGCGTCTAAAAATATCATTTTCTCGACTGGGGGCAGTGTCTCATGCTTGTAATCCCAGTACTTTGGGAGGGTAAGGCCGGAGGATTGCTTGAAGCTGAGAGTTGAGACCAGCCTGGGCAACAGAGTGAGACCTCATATCAAAAAAAAAAAAAAAAAAAAAATTTGGCCGGTCTCGGCGGCTCAGTCTGTAATCCCACGCTTTGGGAGGCCGGGGTGAGGGAATTGCCTGAGCCCGCGGGTTCAAGACCCACCTGGGCAACTTGGTGAGACCTCATCTCTACAATAAATCAAAAATTAACCGGGCGTGGTATCGTACGCCTGTAGTTCCAGCTACTTGGAAGGCTGAGGCGGAAGGATCGCAGGTCAAGGCTGCGGTGCCCAGGAGCAGCCACTGCATTTCAGTCTGGACGACTGAGTGAGACTCCTACTCAAAAAAAAAAAAAATCATACAAAAATTAACCGAACGTGTTGGTGTGTGCCAGTAGTCCCAACTACTTGGGAGACTGAGGCAGAAGGATCGCCTGAGCCCAGGGGGTCGAGGCTGCAGTGAGCCGTGATCATGCCACTGCACTCCATCCTGGGCGACAGAGTGAGACTACAACTCAAAATAAAAATAATTTTACCCATTTCTAGGTGGATAGCTTAGTGGAATCAAGTATATAAACAGCTACGTGTACCTACCACACTGTCTATATCCAAGACAGTTTCACCTGGAACTCTACACTTATTAAACACCAACACCCCCCTGCTTCTTCTCCCGGGTCTTTGGGAACTTCTGTTTCCCTTTCTGTCAATATAAATCTGAGTGGGAGTCACACCGTGTCTATCCTTCTGTCTGGCTTCTTTTACTCATTGTGCCTTCAGGGGTCATGGTGTGGTACCTTCTTGTTCCTTGTTATAGCTGAATCATCTTCCAGCGTATGGGTCTGCCACAGTCTGTTTCTCCAACCATCTGTTGATGGGTGTTCGCACTGTTTCCACGTTTTGCTTTTGCAAATAATGCTGCTGCAAACATGTGTGGACACATGTTTTTAATTATTCTTGTACCAAGGAGTGGAGTAGCTGTGTCATATGGTAACTCTGTTTAATTTTAAAAACCTTTTAAAATTTCTATTTGATATTTTTATTTATTTATTTTTATTTTCACTTTTTTGAATCAGAGTCTCACTCTGTTGCCCAGGCTGAAGTGCAGTGGCATGCTCATGGCCACTGCAGCCTCGACTTGCTGGGCTCAGTTGATCCTTCCGCCTCAGCCTTCCAAGTAGCTGGAACCACAGGTGCTCACCACCATGCCTGACTGATTTTTTAAAAATTTATTATAGAGATGAGGTCTCACTATGTTGCCCAGGCTGGTCTCGAATTCCTGAGCTCGTGCAATCCTCTCGCCTCCACCTCTACCTCCTAAGGTGATGGGATTACAGGCATGAGCCTCAGTGCTTAACTTCTATTTTACATTTTTAGAGACAGCGTCTCACTGTGTCACCCAGGCTGGAGTGCAGTGGCATGATGATGGCTCACTGTGGCCTTGACCTCCCGGGCTCAGGCGATACTTCTGCCTCAGCCTCCCAAGTAACTGGGACTACTGACATACACCACCATGCTCAGCTAATTTTCCCCTCCCCACCTGACAGCCATCATCTTTGTCTCTTCCCATTTTGTGGGTCAGGAGTCTGGGAAAAGCTTAGCTGGGTAGCTTTTCTTGTGGCTTCTGTGATACCTGCTGGGTGGGGGCCGGGGGTTGTGGGGCCCTTCCCTGTCGGCTTCTTTGCCTGCTTGCCTGGCGCCTGGGAGCTTTCTGGCCTCTTACCACGTGGTGTCTCACGCTGCAGGGTCTCTCCATGTGGTTGGCTTCAGTGTACTGAAGTGGTCACCCTCCTTCCATGATGGCCAGCTTTCGAAACACAGGAAGCAGGCCTTCGGAGGCTGTGCTTGGAAGTGGCCCAGCATCACGTCTGCCATAGCAGGAACAGACTTAAGGCAGGCTCAAGGGGCAGAGAAGGGGATGCCACCTCTTGACGGGGAGTGGCAGGAACAGACGGGACAGTGTCAGGAAGCTGTGGCTGTCTTTGGAAAATGCGACCTGCACATGTGATGTGTGTTCTTTATACTGTGTGTATGTGTTTGTGTGTACTTAACATTACACACAGATCCTTTCTCTACACACACACACACACACACACACACACACACAAGGATCTGTGTGTAGTATTGAGTACACACACACATGTTCTATATATATCGTATATTAACATGCTCTTGTTACTTTCTTTTCTTTTTTTTTTTTGAGTGAGAGTCTCACTCTGTCACCCAGGCTGGAGTGCAGTGGTACACTCACGGCCACCGCAGCCTCGACTTACTGGGCTCCGGCGATCCTTCTGCCTCAGCCTTCCAAATAGCTGCAACCACAGGCACACGCTACCACACCTGGCTAGTTTTTTGATTTATGGTAGAGACGAGGTCTCGCCAAGTTGCCCAGGCGGGTCTCGAACCCCTGGGCTCAGGCAGTCCTCTCGCCTCCGCCTCCCAGAGTGCTGGGAGTATAGGAGTGCGCCCGACCTTCCTGCTCCTGTAATCGCAGATCTCCTCTCTCCGTCCTTGTCTGTGTGCACAGACAGATTTCTCTTCCTTTGTGTGTGTGGCACTTTCCTCTGCGTTCATTCAGTGCGTGGTTTGAATCCAGAGGAGCGACAGCCTTGCGTGCTTGTGGTCTTGTGGAGTAACCTGAGCCTGGTGCCAAGGTGTCTCGTGTCCTCTCTCCCCTCCCGGCCAGAACATCACACACGGGTCCAGCTTCCGTGTGGTCCTGGACACCCTCCCCTCCATGATGAGTGCGCTGGGCTTGGTGTGGATCATCTCGCGCCACTACAACAAGGATGAGCGCATGGTCCCGCTCATGGAGCGCATCGCCTGGGAGATCGCCGAGCGGGTCTGCAGGGTGGTCAACCTGCGGACGCTGTTCAAGTAAGAAGCTGCCAGCTCGTTGGTGTTTTAGGTCTTAAGCAGCTTGAGCGAGCTGTGATTCACATAAGCAGGCACGTCGCCCACTTGAAGCGTACAGTTCGGCCCGGCATGCTGGCTCTTGCCTGTCATCCCGGCACACTGGGAGGCCGAGGTGGGAGGATCACTTGAGCCCAGCAGGTTGAGGCCAGCCTGGGCAACATAGTGAGACCTTATCTCTCCAAAAAGGAAAAGAAAAGCCAAGCACAGTGGCTCACGTCTGTCATCCCAGCACTTTGGGAGGCTGAGGCAAACGGATCGCTTGAACCCAGGAGTTTGAGACCAGCCTGGGCAACATAGAGAGACCTCTTGACAAAAGAGAAAAAAAGTAGTCGGGTATGGTGGCATGCGCCTATAGTCCCAACTACTCAGGAGGCTGAAGTGGGAGGATCACCTGAGCCCAGGAGGGTGAGGCTGTGGTGAACTGTAATCATGCCAATCCACAGTCTGGGTGACAGAGGGAGACCCCACCTCAAAAAGAAACAGAGAGAAACAAAGGATATAGGTGAAACAGGTACCAAAATCTAGGCTTTGCATGTTGCTCCAGTGTTGAAGTCATCACTTTTGACCACTGGCCTGGGGGCCAAGGCCGCCTGCCCTGCTTCTAGTAAAAAAGGTCAGCAGGGGGACCCAGCACTGCATGCCGAGGGGGCAGCGGCAGGGAGGGCCACAATTCCCCCCTTGCAGATTGCGGCAGAGCTCGCCCGCTGAGCTTTCCACAGGGAGGCCTGAAACCAGGGAGGTTCCCGGCTTGAATCCTCCCCGAGACACCTGCTCTCCCTGGGGAGTGGGACTTGGGCTGCAGCTCTGTCCTCCCTCCCGTCACGCCATCTAATGGCTTCGCAGAGAGAACCGGGCGACTGCACAGCACAAAACCTTGGATGCCAAGAACACCCTGAAACTGTGGAAGAAGGCCTACTTTGACACCCGGGCCAAGATCGAGGCTTCGGGGCGCGAGGCTCGCTGGGAGTTTGATCGGAAACGGCTGTTTGAGAGGACAGATTACATGGCCAACATCTGCCAAGACCTCTCCGACATTCTGCAGGTGGGTGGCCAGGCAAAGGCGGGTCATGCAGAAGAGAGCTGGGATTGGCCCGATGGAACGGAGGTGGCCTTGACAGTGGCCCCTCCATGCTGGGTGTCGGGAAGGGGCTGGCAGAGAGAAACTCTTGAAAGCAAGAACACACAGGGTCACCGGGCGCGGTGGCTCATGCCTAGAATCCCAGCACTTTGGGAGGCCGAGGCGGGAGGATGGCTTGAACCCAGAGATCAAGACCAGGCAACACAGGGAGACTGTCTACAAAAATAAAAAAAATTAGCCAGGTGTGGTGGCGTGTGCCTCCCAGCAACTTAGGAGGCTGAGATGGAAGGATTGTCTGAGTCCAGGAGGATATGGCCATGGTGAGTTGTGATTGTGCCACTGCACCCCAACCTGGGTGACAGAGTGAGACCCTGAATCAAAAACAGAAAGAAAGAAATAAAAAACATACAGGCCGGGCGTGGTAGCTCAAGCCTGTAATCCCAGCACTTTGGGAGGCTGAGGTAAGGGGATTACCTGAGCCCACGGATTTGAGACCAGCCTGGGCAACATGGTGAGACCTCATCTCTAAAATAATTCAAAAAACTAACTAGGCATGGTAGCATGCACCTGTAGTTCTGGCTACTTGGAAAGCTGAGGTGGAAGAATCACCTGAGCCCAGCAGGTTGATGCTGGGGTGGACGTGAGTGTGCCACTGCACTCTAGCCTGGGGGACAGAGGAGACTCCAACTCAAAAAAAAGAGAACATTTAGAATATACTAGAAGGCACCAGCATGTACCAGAGTACACCAGACCTTTGTGGCTTTTCCTTGTCTTCAGGAACATCCCTCCCTCCTCCTGCTTTTGGGTTTTCCTTTGACCTCTTTGGCTACACCTTCTCCATGTCTTTTGCAAAGTCTCTCCCCTCTGTCTTCCTATTCTGTCAGGATTCCTCAAAGGCTGGTCGGAGACCCCTCTTCATCCTCTCCCTGAGCCAGCCATCCTCACCCACGGCCTCGACTACTGCCCATCAGCCAGGGCTCTGCGTCTCTCTGACCCCTGACCTCTTTTGGATGGTTGGAAAAAATGCTTATGATTGAGCCACAGCCCTTGCCTCCTGAAGGTGCAGCTGTTCATCCATTCTAAATATTTATCAAGAACTCACCATGTGCCAGACACTTTCTGGCTGCTAGACAATGGTGGGTGAAACCCAGGGCTGGCTATGTGAGTGTAGCGGTCACACAGTGAAGTGATATTTAGCGATGAGTAGGAGATAGCTAGGCATTTCAAACTGCAAGTGCCCAGGCCCCGAGGCAGAAAGGAATGTGATCCTGAAGGAAGGCTGGTGAGGGAAGAGCAGACTGGGAAGAGGTTGGAGGAGTCCACAGGGGCAGACCTGTGCATCTTGTAGACCGCGTTGGGGCAGCTGACTCTTCTCTTACGTGCAGTGGGCATAGCACCCAAGGGCTTAGCCAGGGAGGAGATTGCCTGCGTGACGTGATGTCTGCCTTCAGGTAAATCTGGATATGCTATCCATTCATAGTCGGAATGTTCAAGGGAAAACCAAAATGTAACCGCCTCATTGTTCCATCTGATGGGACAGGTTATGGAGGAATTTTACAACATATTTGGTCCAGAACTAAAGGCAGTGACGGGGGATCCCAAGCGCATCGATGACGTTCTGTGCCGGGTGGACAGCCTGGTCACCCCCATGGAAAACTTGACCTTTGACCCCTTCAGCATCAAGTCCTTCCAGTCCTGGAAGTATGTGATGGATGACTTCAAGATCGAAGTTCTGGCAAGTAGCTTATCCCTCGATTTGATCTTGGGAGCGAGCGCCATGTTTTCCCTGTGTTAAACGTGTCGGGTTATTTAATAATGCTTAGAGTTTTTTTGTTTAATCACAAAAAGTAATGTCTGCTTATTTGTAAAAAACAAGAACAAGACAGAAGCGTAGTGCCCAAGGCAACGGAGAGTATTCCTCACTCTGCTTTGACCGGCTTCCGCTCCCTGAGTGGGATGAGTTTAAGTTGAGCTGGACACAGTCACATTTCTATCAAGTTTGCTTCAGGCAGTATGCATTCACCTGTCTATGGGGCGAGGTAAAAATAAACTCGACATGACAAGAGAGTCACAAGCATCCCATGGGGTTTTGATAAGTGTGTTTTGTCGAGGTTGAGGTCAGGGAAAGCAACAAGTTGGAAGGAACCTCTGGGATTGGGGAAGCTGGGAAAGAGGAGGCAGGCTGAGACGAGGTAGGAGCAACAGCATAGAGGCATCCGAAGTGAGAAGACAGGAGGTGTCTGAGGCAGAGCCGACAGAAGGGGTTGGTGTAATCTACGGGGCAGGTAGTAGAGGGAAATCGAGCTAGAAAGGGGCTTGAATGTATAAAGAGAGGGCCAAGGAGGGCCACGGTGAGGAATGGGACTTAATTTAGAAGGCAGTAGGGCAGAACCATTGACAGTTGTTGACCCAGGAGTGATATAATCAGAACTAGACTTCAAGAAGGTTTTTTTGGCCACAACACAGGCTGCTTTGGGCTGGGGAATGACAGCGGGGAGGGAAAGGTGGTAACCTGGGGCATGGGGGCGGCAGAGTCTGTCAAAGAGAGACTGTAGCTGAGAATTCGATTCATTCCTCATAGCTTTAGGGGTGACCCTCATGCCCACTTTTTCCGTCTTCATTTTGTGTCTTTCGTGATTGTCATTATAACCTCAAAGCATCTTTTTATATAGCCAACCCCAGATGGCTCTACTGGGTTATATAGCCATTTCTGTTTTAATTGTATCCAACTCATTCTCAGCTTCTATTTCATCTTAAGTGTTATTTACTTTTTATTTTGCATGCTTCTCAGAAAAGCACAGTGTTATTTACTTTTTAAATTGAACTTTCTGCTGGGCACAATGGCTCACACTTGTAATTCCAGCACTTTGGCAGGCAGATGCGAGAGGACTGCCTGAGCCCAGGGATTTGAGACCAGCCTAAGCAACTTAGCAAGACCTCATCTCTACAATAAATCAAAAAATTAGCTGGGCATAGTAGCGCACTAGTTCCAGCTACTTGGAAGGCTGAGGCAGAAGGATTGCCTGAGCCTAGCAGGTTGAAGCTATGGTAGTCATGAGCATGCCACTGCACTCCAGTCTAGGCAACAGAGTGAGACTATGATCAAAAAATAAAAAAATAGATAAATACAAATAAATTTAAAAAAAATGGAACTTCCCATCCAAGTCACTTAGGTAATACTGAAAGGCTCATTATCAGAAAAAGCAGCCCTATGTTTATCTCCTCTCTATCTCCATTCTTGCTGTCATTTCCCACAACTTTAGATATTTCTCTTGTTGTTTCCCTCTGTATTTCCTAAAGAATATGCCTATGTGGTTATTTCCTGATTTAGGAATTTTAGATATCTGTTAACTTCTTGGAGTAGATAAAGACTTGACTGTCCCATTCCTAATTCCATTTGTCCCTCTGTCATCTAACATAATTTTATCATAACTTGTGTTTAAATTAATGGTAAGTATTTATTAATTGTCTGTGCAAGCATTGTTCATTATTAAGCCAAAAAGCCCATCATAACATGCTGCCTTTCTTGCCCAACCCTTCATTTTTCCCGGAATTAATTGTTGCTTTTATTTTTCCTTTGCCTAGTTATTTACATACCCACTGTTAATTTTTTGCAACTTTGTTGACATCTCTGCTACATACTTATTAGCAATGGGTTTCAAATGCAGAAACATATTTGTGGTATCATTTTCCTAGAGGCCTTCCAGAGCTCACTGTCCTCCTATTCCACTCTGGACTGCTTTTTAGGCCTGTTACAAAGGAGTCACCTTAGGACCTCCCGTCTTCTCTTATCTTATTCTTGGTGCTTCCCAAGTCAGGTTTCATGGGATATAGATTTTGTGAGTCTTGAATGTGTAAATTCCTAAATAACAGTAAGGTATAGAATCCAAGGTTGCATATAATTTTTCTTTAGAAATTTGAAGACATTCTTCATTGATGTCTAGCTTCCAGCATTATGAAAAATTTGATGTCATTCAGATTTAATTTTTCTAGAACTAGGCTTCCACTCCTTTAGAGTGGGGTGGGCACAGGAGGGGTGGAGGATGCACAGTAGCCTGGTTGTGCAGGGTGGAGAGCTCCCCTCTCTGACCCTCACTTTCAAATACACCGACCTCCATCCTGGTGCCTGGTTCCTCCAGATGCTCAGCCTCTTAGAGCTTCTTTGAGGAGCAAACAGGTATTCATCTGTGCTTATATTACCTGCATTAGATTGTCACTATCTGCCATTTTTAAAGTTACTCTACTTCTTTTTTTTTTGAGTCAGAGTCTCACTTTGTCACCCAGGCTGGATGGAGTGTGGTGACTCACATATGGCCACCCCAGCGTCAACCTGCTAAGCTCAGGTGATCCTTTCACCTCAGCCTTCCAAGTAGCTGGAACTACAGGTGTGTGCCACCATGCCTGGCTAATTTTATTTATTTATTTATTGTAGAGATGAGGTCTCCCAAGTTGTCCAGGCTGGTCTCGAACCCATGGGCTCAGGCAATGCTCTTACCTCAGCCTCCCAAAGTGCTGGGGTTATAGGTGTGAGCCACCGTGCTCAGCAAAAGTTATTCTCCTTCTATTAAAAATTCTGAACTATCTCCTGCTGCTGTGTCCTCTCCCATATTTTTTGTCTACGTGAGTTAGTCTTTTTAGAAATTCATTTTCTCCATCACATTGAATTGGTTGAGGCGAGAGATCAGAAAATCAATCCACCATTTTTATTGGATATCAACTTCCATTAAAGTGCAATAGAAACTTGTCCCAAGCCACTGATTTTCTTTTCTTCTCATTTCTTGCCAGTTTTTATTTTTATTTTTTCAAGATAGTTATAAGAGCTTATCTTTTTTTTTCAGATTATTGAGAAAGAAGCAAAAAACTTTATCGATGAATCTTTTAAGACACTCCGATCAGCTGAAGCAGCGTTTGACATGCTTTTAAAGTTTAAGCACATTCGTTCCCGGGAAGCTATTAATCGACAAATGATGATGAAATTTAATGATATTCTTGCACAGTATTGTAAAGAGGTAATTAAAAAGTCAATAGTTGTTGGAGCACTAAAAATACACTCGGCAAAATGTGAACAATTGAGTCACACTATTCTCTTTCTCACCTGAATTCAGAGAAATTGGAATTTTCCCAAATAAGCATGTCACGTGATACAAGTAACCCAAGCAAAGTGGGTTTGTTTATTCAGCGGAGAAATTCAGTAAGAATTTATCAAGTATAAAATTGCTCACATTGTAGCGGGCCCTGTGTGAGTTAGTAATAGTCATGGTAGTAATAGTAGTCAGAGGTTCCTAAGTAAGTTCTGAGCTTGAATCTTTCTTGGCTAACATGGTGATGTTTATCACTTACAGAATACATTTGATTGCTTTTCAGATTGACATAGTCAATAGACTCTTTGTCCAGAACCTTGAAAATCCACCACTGTATAAGAACCACCCCCCGGTAGCCGGTGCAATATACTGGGAGCGATCTCTGTTCCATCGGATCAAGCACACCATCCTCAGGTTCCAGGAAGTGGAGGACATCCTGGACAGTGATCGAGGACGGGAAGTATGTTGCTTTAAGTATGTTGCTTTCGCCACGTGCCCTCTCGCCTTCCACTCTATCATCCTGGCCTCCCTGACCCCTTCCAGGAGAGTCATTGGACCTAGGTGACTGCCGCCTTGCAGTAGGCTACGTAGAGCCCATGTGAGAAGCAGCTCAATGTCAAGGCCATACCTGCAAGTCAGTGGGCATCCTTGATTGAGGGCTCATCTGTTTTTGTTTTTTGTTTTTAGATTAGAGAATATAGTTTATTTAGAAAGTAAATGAGAGAGAGAGAGAGAGAGAGGGAGAGGATTCACCTTCACCTCCCCAAGGTAGGGGAAGGGGCCAAAGCTTAAGAAAACATGGCCTGGCCATAGCTCAAAGAGCAAGTGGCCACACCATACCTTAGCAAGGCAATGGTGGTGATGACCCAGCAATGGCCTGAGGGCTCATCTTTAAAACTACTTTTTGTGTTCTTTCTCTTGGGCATCTGAATACACCAGGCGTCTTCCAGGTTCTGGTCATGTGGGCTTCTACCCGTCCTTGACCTTCAGCTCCTTTGGAAGATGACCACCATCTTTTTGACACTATCCCTCCCCCTAGCCCATGGATTTTTATATGTTATATAGCGGAGGATGACAAACCTTGTTTTTAAAGATTCAGATAGGAAATATTTTAGAGGTTTGGGCAATTTCTGTTGCAATGCCTCAATCTGCTACTGTTGCAAGAGAGTTTATTCTGGATAATATGTAAATGAACAGTCATGGCTATGTTCCAATAAAACTTTATTGATAGATGCTGAATTTGAATTTCTTATATTCATATTTTCACATGTTAGGGAGCACTATTACTGTTTTGATTTCCTTCTACTCATCCTTCTAATCATGTAAAAGCCATTCTTGGTTCACAGGCCACACCGAACGCAGCCATGGGCTGTAGTTTGCTGACCCCTGCCTTTTAGCTTAGATTTCAAGTCATACCATCGAAAACAAACCCTCCAAAATATTTAAGAATCTGACTACTTCCCTTTTCAAAATATGATAATAGATAATTAAAATATATATGCACATATATATGTATAGAGAGATGAGAAAATGTTATCTTTTTTTTTTGAGTTGGAGTCTCACTCTGTTGCCCAGGCTGGAGTGCAGTGGCATGCTCACGGCCACCCCAGTGTCAACCTGCTGGGCTCAGGTGATCCTTCTACCTCAGCCTTCCAAGTAGCTGGAAACTACAGGCACAGTTCTCGCCAAGTTGTCCGGGCTTGTCTTGAACCCGCGGGCTCAGGCAGTCCTTTAGCTTTGGCCTCCCAATGTGCTGGGATTACAGGCTTGAGCCACCGCAACCAGCTGAGAAAATATTTCAAAGAACAAAAATAACCATTATTTGAATTCTTTGATAGGTAAGACAAAAATACTTGGAAGTGGGTAGGACAATGAAGGAATATGAAGACAGAAAATATGAGCAGTGGAGAGAGATGACGGAACAGATTCTTCCAAATCTCATGAAGAAGAGTCTGCTGACCAAGGTGTGTGTTTCCAGACCCTTGTCCCAGATCATGGTGGCCATGTAAGATGATGGAGTTTGTAGCATTTTCCTGAGGTTTGATTTGTTAACGCTCATGAAGTTGACAGGTATTTCCAAAATCAAAGACAAAGAAAATGGCTGGGCACAGTGGCACTTGTCTGTAATCCCAGCACTTTGGAAAGCCAAGGCGGGCGGATTGCTTGAGGCCAGGAGGTTGAGACCAGCCTGGGCAACATAGCAAGACCCCATCTCTTCAAAAAACAAACATCAAAAACAATAGCAAAAGACCCAAAAGGACAAGGAAGGACAAGGGTTGACTGGGAAGAAGAGGAGAGGCAGAAAGGACGGAGAATGGAGACAGCACAATGTCGTGCTTAGTACATGGGCTGGAATCCTGCAGCCCTACTGACTATGGGCAAGTGGCTTAACTCTGAGCCTCAGTTTTCTCCTTTGTAACATGTATTGGATCAGATGACGTGAAAGTCCAAAGGATTAGTTAGACCGTATGTGAAGTAGCTAACAGTTGATCATTTTTAACCTACAGAAAACTGCCATTCCATGGATTCCTCCCTGCCTTGAGCACTGGGCCCGGCACACAGCAAGTGCTCAATAAATGATCTCAGCTACTGGGGGAAAGATGTGACTTGACAGTTTTAGATCTTTGGTCTCTGACATTCTGCCATAGGTGCCAAAATGAGTAGAGGGGGCCAGGAGGGACCTACAGGGACTGGCCTGCTCAGGTTCTGTCAAAAGAGGCGGCCATTCCTCAGCTCTGCCTGTCGTTGCTATACATGATTGGATTTTCCAGTTTTTCAAGAGATGCAGCAAGTCTAGGTTTTTAGGCGAAATTGCCCAGTTTTCAAATGTTGGCAACCACACTGAAGTCTTTAAAAACTCTGTTCACCCAACAGAATATGCATTCTAGATACTTCCAGCCAGCACCCCGGTCTGGTGGGGGCCCTGTGTTTATCTTCTCAAGTTCACTTTTAACTTGACTGCCCTTTGACAGCCCTTCCTGTTCTAATGAAACACCTCTCCTGCAGTCTTCCGCCACTGCCAATGACACTTCTACTACCGAAAAGGGAGCTGTTTTTGTCATCAATTTTTCACCTGCTCTCAGAGAGATTATTAACGAAACCAAGTACTTGGAACAGCTAGGCTTCAACGTCCCCGAATTAGCAAGAAACGTTGCTCTCCAAGAAGACAAATTCTTTAGGTAAAAAGATTCTTCTCTTAAGTTAGCAGTAAACTTTTTGGTCTTGGGAACTGTTTATACTCTTAAAAATTATTGAACATGCCCCAGACTTTAATGTTTGTGGATTTTGTAACTACTGATATTTACATTAGTAATTGAAGCTAAGAAATGTTTAAAACATGGATTTATTCCTCAATCTAAAAAGCAATAACAAACCTATTACGTGTTAAAGTAAATGACATTTTAGATAAGAAGTAAGCAATATTTTTCAAAAAAGGAAGTTAGTGGAAAGGTGATGGTGTTTTAAATTTCTGCAAATCTCTTGATCAAAGGTATAGATTGGCACCTACGGCAGGCTGGGCACAGGCTGGGTACTGGCCCCAAAACAGGTGTCCAAGCCAAAGCCTGTGTCTATCAAATAAACACACAAACAAGCATATGATGGCCAATGACACATGTGCCCCAAGCCCTCTAATGCAGAGGGTGGCAAACATGGCCAGCAGTCCACCTCTCAGTGCTTGGTCTATTTTTGTAAATAAAGTTTTATTGGAACACACACACACACACACACACACACACACACACACACACACACACAGGAGTAGGTTGACCTTTGGTCTCTTGTAACCTTGAGCATCCTTGCAGTCTTCTTAATGATGCTCCTGTCGTGTTTAGGTACACAGAAGGACTACAGCGTATGCTGGATCATTATCACATGCTCAGAGGAACGTTGAATGAGGCAGAGACTATGCTCCTCGATGACCATTCTCAGGAACTGATCCGAGTGTTCAGATCTGGATATAAGAGGTTGAACTGGAATTCACTAGGTAACACATTTCTTCTATTTTATTGCCTTTTAGACTCTGGGATGCAAAAATAATTCTTTTGGATTGTTTCATTTGAGTTGCAATTTTTGTATGTTTATAGATACAATTAACAAATAATTTTTGAGGGTTAAGCAAATACACATTGTGGAACTTAGAACTAATCTCCAGGCTGTCATTGGGGTGAAGGTAAGAAGGGTGATATTTTCACATTCTGTAGACCAAAGTATTTTTTGCCAAAAAGAAAGTGACCTTTCCTTTTTTTAGTGAAAAATTTATTATTTTGCATTTTTTAAAATAGATTTTTTGAGTCAGGGTCTCACTCTGTCACCAGGCTTGAGAGCAGTGGCATGATCATGGCTTACTGCACTCTCGACCTCCTGGGCTCAGGCAATCCTTCTGTCTCAGCCTCCTGAGTTGCTGGGACTATAGACTCACATCACCATGCCCAGCTAATTCTTTTTTATTTTTTGTAGAAACAAGGTCTTGCTCTGTTGCCTAGGCTGGTCTTGAACTCCTGGGCTCAAGCAACCCTCCCACCTCGGCTTTCCAGAGTGGTGGGATTATAGGCGTGAGCCATTGTACCTGGCCTTCTTTAGTTAAAAATTTAATTTGGAGGTAATTATTGACTCACATGCAGTTGTGAAAAGTTACTCCAGGGAGATCCCATGGGCCTTTGACTCAATTTCCCCCAGTGGTAACATCTTGGGAAACTGGAAGGTCACAACCAAGGTATTGACATTGGTGCATTCGGGAGAGAGCTCATTTCCACATCACAATGATTACAGTCAAGCCCGCTTCCCCCTAGCCCCCCTTAACCCCTGGCAACTGTGAATCTGTCCTCCATTTCCATAATTTATGTCATTTCAAGAGTGTCATATAAATGATACATAACCTTTTCTGGGCTGGAGTTTCTCATTCAGTCTGATTCTTTGGAGATCTGTCCAAGTGGTTGCTTGTAGTAACAGTTTGGTCCTTTTTCTTTTTTCTTTTGAGTCAGAGTCTCACTCTGTTGCCAGGCTGGAGAGCAGTGGCACGCTCACAGCCACTGCAGCCTCCACCTGCTGGGCTCAGGTGATCCTCCCGCCTCAGTCTTCCAAGTAGCTGGAACTACAGGCATGTGCCACCATGCCTGGCTAATTTTTTGGCTTATTGTAGAGACGAGGTCTCCTCAGTTTGCCCAGGCTGGTCTCGAACCCATGGTCTCAAGCGGTCCTCTCACCTCCGCCTTCCTAAGTGCTGGGATTATAGGATGTCCAACCCTTTTGCCCATCCTCTAATGAGATCATTTGCTTTCTGCACTGTTGTGTTTTGAGCGTTCCTGAGACATTCTTGAGACTAGTCCTTGGTTGGATGTGTGGTTTGCAGATGTTTTCTCCCATTCTGTGGCTTGTCTTTTCTTTCTCCTAGGAGGGTCTTTGATAGAGCAACAGTGAGACAATTTGAAAAAGTCCAGTTCATTCATTTCCCTTTAATTTGTTTTGCTAAGAATCATCACCTTGCCCTAGATCTCAAGGGTTTTCTTTTTTCTTTTTTTTTTTGAGTTGGAGTCTCACTCTGTTGCCCAGACTGGAATGCAGTGGCCGCTCCTGGCCACCTCAGTCTTGACCTGCTGGGCTCCAGCGATCCTTCCGCTTCAGCCTTCCGAGTAGCCAGAATTACAGGCGCGCTACCACGCCCGGCTTATTTTTTGATTTTATTGTAGAGATGAGGTCTCACCTGCCCAGGCGGGTCTCAAACCCGCGGGCTCAGCCTCCCGAAGGCGCAGGATTATAGGCTGAGCCACCGAGCCTGGCTGGGTTTTCTCTTTGCTTTTTTCTTTCTAAAAATGTCATGGTTTCAAGTTCGTGATCCATTTTGAGGTGTGTGTGTGTGTGTGTGTGTGTGTGTGTGTGTGTGTGTTTATTAATTAAAATGTGAGACCAATCCTAAGTGCTTAACCTGGGTTGGCCATTCACATTCTCGCTGTTTGTCTTTCTAAACTCCAGGCCAGAGGAGATTGCAGGCAGGGAGGTTAGAGTGGAGGGTGCAGGGAGCCGCAGTAGGGAGATGACAGGGCTCGGTATTCCTTTTCTTCCTATGATGCTTCTAACGTGATTGTGCTAAGATTCCAACAGAAGAAATGCATCACTTGGTTGATTCTGGGCTCTTTGTCCCAATTTCTTTCTTTCTTTCTTTTTTGAGTTGGAGTCTCACTCTGTTGCCCAGGCTGGAGTGCAGTGACATGCTCCCGGCCACCCCAGTGTCGATTTGCTGGGCTCCGGTGATCCTTCCGCCTCAGCCTTCCAAGTAGCTGGAACTACAGGCGTGCGCTACCACACCCAGCTAATTTTTGATGTATTGTAGAGACGAGGTCTTGCCCGGGCTGGTCTCGAACCCAAGGGCTCAGGCAATTCACTCCCCTCAGCCTCCCAAAGAACTGGAATTACAGGCTGAGCCACTGAGCCCAGCCCTCATCCCAGTTTCTTAGGTTGCCACCTCCAAGCCCCAAGGGACTGGAATGAGCAGGATCTTTCCTGGGAAGGGATGCCAGGGTTAAGGTATGAATGTCAGTGGGACAGATATGGAAAGGCAGGGTTGGAATCCAGATGTCTTTCTTCTTTCTTTTTTTTTCTTCAAAGGTATTGCTGACTACATAACTCGGTGCAAGCAGGCCATTGGGAAGTTTGAGTCTCTCGTCCACCAGATCCATAAAAATGCTGATGACATTTCTTCCAGGCTTATACTAATAGAGTCCGTAAATCTCTTTAAATATCCAGCAGCTAAAAGTGAGAGTGAACTCCCAGGTAGATTTGACTTCTTGGTTCTTCAGTTGCGGAATGAATAACAAAACCACTTGGTTATGATTACAGATATATATATTTATGAGGGATGAGCTGAAACTATTCCTAATGATCTCAGTCATTTACCTGAATGGGTCATGGGTCATTCTTACTTTTTGTCATGTTTTGTATTGCTTAGTTTAAAATGCTTGAGTCTGAGTATTGGGAGTACTTTGTCGATAACTTCATACCAGTAAAGTAAATTGTGTCTTAATGGGCTCACATTTAAGATGTTTTAGGCAATTGTAGACCAGTCAACAAGGAATTCAAGAAAAACAAGGTTGCCCAGAGGTGTAAGAGCCGCTTTCTGGATGCATGTGACAGGCATTCCAGCGTTGTCATTTATTTGTCTCTTAGAGTGTGTCTTGACTTCTGGTGTTTACTTGTTTCCTGCTTTGGTTCAAGATTGGAGGCTGTTTTTTATTTCCAGCATAAACAGCTGATGTTTGGAATGACTTTTGAGTGCTGTCTTTCCCTGAGCTTGTGGATACCTGTAACAGATTTCTGTCTCTCCAGGTGTGAAGGAATTCTTTGAGTACATTGAGCGAGAAAGGACCAGAGATGTGGACCATATGGTCCGGTGGTATCTTGCCATTGGGCCTCTGCTGACCAAAGTCGAGGGCCTGGTTGTCCACACCAACACAGGCAGGGCACCCAAACTCGCCTCCTACTACAAATTCTGGGAAAATAGAATTTATGAGGTCCTGACAAAGCTCATCCTGAAGTAAGTTTGTCTTCTTGTGGCATGTTTTATAAACAGTGTGCGTCGGTGAGTACCTTGAATGCATATGGACAGTTAATTCCTGCTGAAGGGCCTTCACAGGATGGAGGGATGACCTTCCATTTGGGCTCCTGATCTTGTGAGGCCCCTCAGCCTTCAGAAAAGGAAGTTATCCTGCTCCTCACGTCAAATGCCTGAAAGTCTCAGTGTGTCTGTTCAACTGGTGACAGAATTGTTCCACTCAGTATTTACCCAAATCCCAGAGGATGCCCTCACTCATACCGAGAGAAACAAATTTATTGATTGATTTATTGAGTTGGAGTCTCACTTAATCACCCAGGTTGGAGTGCAGTGGCACGCTCACGACCACCGTAGTGTTGACCTGCTGGGTTCCGGTGATCCTTCCACCTCAGCCTTCCAAGGAGCCGGAACTACATGTGCGCCCTGTCACACCCAGCTAATTGTTTTTCATTTATTGTAGAGACAAGGTCTTGCCAGGCGGCCTGGGCTGGTCTCAAACCCGCAGGCTCAGGCAATCCACTCGCCTTGGCCTCCCAAAGTGCTGGGATTGCAGGCTGAGCCACCAAGCCCAGCCGAGAGAAGCAAATTCAAAGGGCGCATGACCCATTCCTTCTTCTAGTGGTCTAAAGTCAACCCCTGACCAACAGGGTCATCACACATGTGCTGAATGCCTGTTATGCCAGACTTGGTGAGCTCTTTCCCTTCACTCTAGGGCCCCACAGCCCAGCAGCTCAGCTAGACCAGGTGGGAGCTGAGTGCCTGGACTCCCTCGCATTGGCGGCCCACAAACTACCCTGGGATATGAAGCTGACAGCTTAGGATCACGTGCAGACACCAGCCAATGAAATTCATCACTGTGGCTGTTATGGCCATATTGTTAGGGGCGGTGGTATTCATGTCGTTACACAATGTCTTCCTTGTGAAGAACCCCAGAAAAAATTTCTCTAATTTCCCCTTTGACCCTAACCTCCTGAGAAGGCATTTTTCTTTTTTCTCTTTCGCTTTCTGTTTGGTTTTTAAATGATATGGGCACTATGAATTGTTTTCGTTTTTTGACTTAATAACTTTCCCTTTCTCCTTGGCTGCTAGGAAGCTTAGAACCCAATTTGTATCCTGAATGCAGCAATTGTATAGTTAACTTACAATTTGCATTTTTAGTCTCACCCTTGACTATCCATACATATATTTTTAAAGCTAACATGTACAAAGTCTCACCTTGCACCACACTTTGTGCTATACTCTTTCCAATTCTCATTTCCATTTTATAGATGAGAACACTGACTGTTGAGAGGTTAGGTGACTTGTCTAGGGCCACATAGTCAGTAAGAGGAAGAGCTGGAATTTGAAACTGGGCAGTCTGACTCCAGTGCCATGTCTCTAACTTGTATCTGATTGGTTTTGTTTTTTTTTCTTATTTTGTCCAACTTTGATTTTAGGATCTCTTACTGTAGTTAAGGTAACCCTGTGAGGTGCTAAGTCCACTTTGGAACAATGCCTTAGTAAATAGAAGAAAAACCTGTGGCTTTCTTGTTTTCTGAACCCAGTTTGGCAAACCTCATTAAGGCAGTCTTTTAAGTAAATCTATTTTCTATGTCTTTCATTTATCTTTTGTTGTTGCTTCTAACTTATACTTCTAAAACAGCCCCTTAGATGAAGCCTCTGTCGTGTTTCTCCTTCTAATATGCTGTATTTTTCCTTGATCCACCCGTTCATCCATCCATCCATTTACCCATCCATCCGTCCGTCTGTCCACCCATCCATCCATCCACCCATCCATCCATCCACTCATCCATCCATCCATTTACCCGTCCATCCATCCGTCCGTCCATCCGTCCATCCATTCATTTGTCCATCTATCCCCAACCATCCATCCGTCCACCCACCCATCCATCCATCTACTCATTCATCCATTTACTAATGCATCCATTCATCCACCCATGTACCTATCCATCCATCCATGCGTCCATCGACTCATCCATCCATCCATCTTTCCTTCCATCTGTCTATCCATCCATCCATTCACTTATTCATCCACTTACCCATCCTTTCATCCATTTACCCATCCATCCATCCATGCATCCATGCATCCATCCATCCATCCACCCATCCACCCCTCCATCCATCCATTTACCCATCCATCCATCCATCCATCCATCCATCCATCCACCCACCCACCCCTCCATCCATCCATTTACCCATCCATCCATCCACTCATCCATCCGTGCATCCATCCATCCAAGGTTTATTAGTCTGTCCTGTGCTGGGTGTTGGGCTAGACTCTGGTCACAGGCAAGGCTCCTGTCCTATTGTAGCTTCTCTAACCTCATAAGGGAGAGAGGCAAGACATAAGGAAATAGACATAAAGGAGATGATTTATGTGAAATAAATAAAGGATAATAGTGTTCTGGGGTGAGCATGGAGGGGCTGATGAAGTTGGGTGGTCAAGAAAGGCGGTGTTTTAGCTGAGACCCGAGGATGAGGAGTGAGCTTGAAGTGATGAGGGAAGCTTTCAGGGGAAGCCAAGAGCCACTGTGAAGACCCATAGGTGGGAGGAGCAGAAGAAAAGAAAGATTGCAGAAAGAAAGAAAGAGATTGAAGGGAGGGATGGAGTTGGAGAGGCTGGCAGGGGATCAATCAGACCGCAGAGAGCCTGGGGAGCCATGTCAAGGAGCTCACGTTTTATTCTCTCTCTCTCTTTTTTTGAGTTGGAGTCTCACTCTGTTGCCCAGGCTGTAGGGCAGTGGCATGCTCCCAGCCACCGCAGCCTCGACCTGCTGGGCTCCGGTGATCCTTCCGCCTCAGCCTTCCAAGTAGCTGGAAC